GGCACAGGATTTCATTCAATTAAGAAAAACAAAACAAAACAAAACCCCAACACCCACTGACACCCTCCCAAAACAAGCAAACAAAAAACCAAAACCCAAACAAGCAAAAAGCCCTCCCAATGTCCTCTCTTCATTAATTTTAGCTCAAATCCAGAGTTTTTTATCTATTGTTAATGTATTTTAATGCATAATTCAACAATTTAAAAAATTGTTAAATTATGAAGAAAACATAAAGAATGACTAATTTGTTGAGGTTTACGGTGTTTTTGGTAACAGTGGAAAAACTGGTGTGAACAGAAGATAAAGCACCTACTGGTAATATTCTGGAAGTTCTAAGCAGTTAGATGGAACCCTCTGTGCATTCAAATTCAGCTACTGAAATACAATATATATGATTTTAAAATAATAAGAGAGGGTTGGATTCATTAAATATACCAATAAAGGTTCTGGTAGTTTAAAACTACACTGGATTAAACAGCATCTGTGAAATAAAAGGCATTACTGCTATTAAGCCAGTGTCGTGGCCCCAGATATAAAATCAACACCCCATCAGCTCTGCCCTTGAGAACAATCAATGCGTCTGTCAAGTAAAGCTCAGTGGAAGAATTTTTTTCCTATCATATTTTTTTCCTACAATATGCTATATTATGTAGCATATATGGAAGTTAAACTTTGATGTCAGATGTCAGGAGGTGCACATTCCAGGCTATATGGAAAAATTCTGCGATTTTGGATGCTTGGTAACACTGAAGTATTTACAGACATAAGACACATCTTTGTGCATTTTGCTTTGGCACTTCACTGAACTTAGAAATGCTACAATTTTTATTGCATTATTTTCTCATTAAGAAAAGAGATATTAGACAGGAACTGGTAAGTTTGTGTTCTCAAATTTTGTATATACAAATGACTTTATGTTATTTAAAAACTATCACAAAGTTCCTATCTGGTGGTCTCAAATTAAAAAACTAAATTTAAAACCTTCTATTATTCTACCCATATTTTATGTAGATTATTAGCATAAATTTTTGAAATCATTTTAAAATACTGTTGTTTTATCAAAGCATTTTTAAAAACACAATACTCAAAATTTCATTAATTCCCTGTTGATGCAGTTTCTTTTATATGCTCACCATAAACTATAAGGAAAAGGTACTTCATTAGTTTTCTACGGAACAAATCAACTGTCACCAAAACTTACATAAATTATATTAATAAGCTAACCTACACAGAAAAAGTTGAAGATCTAAATAAGTAAAACCGAAGTGATTTTTTTTCCTGTCTTAACTAGAATCACTGAAGATCTTTTTAAACATATATGAAAGGGCAATCTTCCACTTGCTACATTCTTCTCTGCACTGCACTGTACTGTACATGCTCTAGTAGGACTGCTCTGCATCTCCCAGCACTGAAACACTCATATGCCTCAAAACGTTGAAAATATTCCTATCCTGGTCTTAAATAATTCACTTAAAATGTAGTTTAGACAGTTCTACAGATTGGAAGTTATTGTTGAGACATGGCTATGTTAAGTATTAGGTCACCATGTGGTAATAATTTGTCAATAGAGTAGTTATTTATGTATTTATATATGCTCCTAATTCTACAACAAAACAATATGAATTATTTTAGCCTTCAGAAAAAAACAAAAAAAAACCAAACAAACAAACAAAAAAAAAAAACCAAAAAAAACCAAAAACAAAAAGAACCCCACACATGGTCAATGATTGCCACTGGGAGAAAACCTCTGGAAGGAGCCCCCAGAAAACAAACCCCCATGGCCCCTCCCCCCCCACCTGGTTCGGAAAGAATTTTCTCGGAGAGAAGTGGAAAAAAACCCTGTTTATTTAACAAACAAAACACTCCCCAGCACCAAAAAATGAACAACACCAGATGACAACAAAACTCTTTCACCACTCTGAAGAGATGAACAAATCCAGAAAGTCTTTCCTGGGAGTGGTCGCCCGGGTCTGGATGCTGGGGATTGCTCTCCAGCACTGGGGATGGCTGCTGCAGATCACCAAATGCAGGCTCCTGGTGTTCCTTGGTGTTTCCCAGATCCCAGTCCGGAGCAGGTTGGAGCGATATTCAGGAAAGGGAAAGTTAAAAAACAATCCAGGGACCAACAAACAAAAGCAAAGGCTAAAAGCAAAAGCAGAAGCAAGCAAGCAAGCAAGCAAAAGCAAGCAAAGCAAAGCCCTGTTCTTTTAGACAGCAGACCATGGCGGTAGGTGAACCGGCTGATAACAAAACAAACCTTCACTTTCAGAGTCAGTTCTGAAAGCACAGAACATAATATCAAACATAAACAGAAAACACGATTGGGGATACAAACACCATAACATCACCCTAGGACATTTTCCCAGGACAGTTCATATTTCAAGACTGATTCCTTGGTATGTTTCATTAACATTAAAATTAACATTAAAAAAAACTAAACACAAAAAATTAAAGCATTTTTTCATGCATAAAATCTTAACCATGATCTACCCTGACAACTTTGTAACAGTGATCAATATAGCCACAGAATATATTCTTATCATCTTTACAGATTAGAGTGTATTGAAATTTTTTTCATTAGTGCAATCTATTCGTTTCATAACGATTCAAGGATGTCTCAAAATCAGACAGAGATAAAAATGTTTTAAATAGAATATAGATTTATGTTTGCTCAGTAGCTGCACTTATTAAGTGTACAAGCAGGTAGTCTGACAGTATTATGTCTTTTACTATTTTTGTATAGACCAATTAATTTTTAGAATAATTTCAACATTTCAAGAGTGATCCATGGGCTTGGGCTACATTTCTTTCCATTTTATTAGGATACTTTTTTTGTGATGCTGGGTTTTTTAATTTATAGCTCCCTTTACAGAAACTGCCAGCTTGACTCTAAATCCAGGATCAAAGCCAATGTCCATCATTCTATAATAGGAAAATTAAATTAAAAACAGCTTGCTCATGAGGATATTTAAAACATCCCTATTTCACCAGCCTAATTTTTAAAATTCTTCAATTTTCGATGGGTGTTGTGTTATCAACTTTGTGGGGGTTTTGTTTGTTTGTTTGTTTGTTTGTTTTTAGGTGAAGGCTGTAGAAATATTTTGATAAAATAAAAAAAAAATAAAGACAATTATTAAGGAAAAAAGCTTAGAATTTTGGCATGCTTTTTTCCTTAAATATTTTTAGGGACAAAACACTAGCAGAAAATAATAGAACATTGTACTGTAACAGGAAACAAAAGGCATATAGAGAGAGATCTTCAATATTATTCAATATATATTGCCTTGTTTTTTCAGAACACAAAAATAAGATCTATCTCTAGCCTTCACAAGTTGTAAAGCATAATTTTATTCTGTTTTTTATAAGGTTGTGTAAGTCCCTTAAGGTATTGCAAGCTTCAGGAAGAAATATATCAGCTACAATCACATTGTTTTGTACCTGCAGAAGGTCATTTTTTATGTCCTAAGAATGCTGCAGATAATTCTAGAACTACAAAGGAGCTACTATGAAATCCTTAATGTGAAAAAATGATAGTTAATGCTTTAGTATTAAGAGAAATACAAAACCTTAATAGAGAAATAAGTGAATTCTAACCCTATTTTAGCTAGTCTTCAGGAACTGAATTGGAATTTCCCCTAGCTCACCAAAACAGCTCAAAAGAGAAGCAGAGTAGGTTGTAAGAAGGAATATGTGAGAAGGTGAATAGAGAGAAAATGAAAGGAAGGCCTAAATTCTGAAGATGTCTTGCAAATCATTTTGTTCTTACTGTCTAGAGAGACACCAATTCACCACCTCCTAGGGCAGATCAGACATTTGACTCACTGAAAGCAACGTCTGAGACTTCAAGTATATATGAGAGGAAACAATAATAAAAAATTATACCCCGCGCCAATGAGATCCAAAGTCAGAGCTCTTCTGCACAAGGTATGCCTGATCTTGCCCACCCTGAAACCCAATGTGCCTTTTTTTTATGTATCTCTTTAGTGCTACTCATACTTTGTGACATTTCCATACAAAGTCTAGGCATAGTCGTGTTGTTTCTTACCATTTCTTTGCATTAATTATTTTTGTTTTGCTTTGTTGTAACTTGTAATGTGGTAGTATGCCAGCCTTCCTTTTAAGAGGTCTGACACATTTTATGACTTAATTAAACTAATATGATATTTCTTCATCTGTTTCCTTCCCAGCACTGAGCTTCCTCTTATTTTTTAAATTTAATTATCCTTATGACAGATACAAACAAATTATTGCAGCTGTTCTACACATCTGAAAAAATATGGACAATTTTAGGTGCCTCTATAGGAATTTATGCAGCTAGGTCCAGGTTTTAACACTTCAGATTGACGACAGCTCTTGCTTCGCATCCAGGTGGATTTCAGTGCTCTTACCTGACTCAGCAAGGTACATACTTGTCTCTTTCTCCGGGCTGTCACACAGCCCAGCCAGATTCATGCAACGAGCAAAGTGACAAGGTTTCAATCGATTTTGCTGATATCCTTCAAGGCCTTAGTTACCCAGTTGTTATAGATAGAAATAGGTAAACCTCAGTAGTGTATGATTTGAAATGGATGATATCAAGTGCAATTAAATAAGATAAATTAAACTTTCATTCTGCTCTCTCCGTGTCATTCAGCAAGACAATGGCAGATTTTGGATGGGCTTAGCTGTTTGTTTTTTGCATTTACCGTTGAGCGACGGGTTTGACAATCAAAATCAGTGCGTTTATAGACATACTGAAAACCACAGACCCACAGGGAACTGGGTCCAAATATTTTATATGCTTTAATCAACGTTATGGTGGGGAGGGAGAAGGAGACCATTGCCAATGAGTTGCACAAGAAATAAACGCTCCTTCGCTATTTTGGTATTTAAGCCTACCAGGGTCAATTCCCGGGGGGAGCTGACAAGACGTTTGCGTTCCGGCTGCCTCCAATACTCTCGGCAGGAGCCGGGGGTGCTGGCGGGCAGGTGGGCCGGCCGAGCGAGGGGCGGGCGGGGCCGGGCTCTCCTGTTGCCAGGTGAAGCGCCACGTCTCCGCCTCCTCCCGCGGTAGCGCGCGGCCCCGCAGAGCGCACGCAGGCGGCCCGGCTCGGCTCGGCTCGGCTCGGCGACGCGCGACGCGCACCGACCTCCGCCATGGCGAAGGCGATCAAGAAGGGATTGTTCTGCCCGAGCTTCGTGAGGAAGAACTGGCTGCTGCTGAGCACGGTGGCCGCGGTGCTGGCGGGTGAGCGCGGGGACAGGCGGGGAACCCGGCCTTGCCGGCACGGCACGGCCTTGCTGGGCGCGGGGGTGGCGCGGCACCCGGCTGGGGCCCGCGGCGGGCGAGGGGCGCTGCGCGGCCGAGGAGCCGTGCTAACCACCCGCCCGAAAGGCGGGCGAGGGCGGCCGGCTGCTCTTCCCCCGCATCGCCGCGGCCGCGGAGAGCAGTCCCGCAGTGTCGCGGCGGTCGGGCGGGAGCGGGGCTGGGCGCGGCGCTCGCAGCCCCGGGCGGCAGCGGGGCCCGGAGCCCGCCTGGCCGGGCCGACTCCTGCGCGTCCCGTGTGGCAAAGGTCGGTGATCGGCGGGGTGAGACCGCCGCGTGGAGAGGCGCACGGGCGGCGGGGGCTGTGAGCCCTCCGTACTGCGCGTCCCCACCGCGGGCTGTGCCCCTTGGGACCCGCGTACAGCCCGGGGGCTGCGGGTGGCCTCTGCAGGTCACGGAGGGGACGCGGCCCCTGGCTGAGGCTGCTCTGCAGGTGGCAGCCCCGCCGAGGGAGGCTGCAGGGCTGGAGAGCGGTGGCGGTGGCTTTGAGGAGCTTCTGGTGGCCCAAGCGAGCGGTGCAGTTGGAAGAGTTTGGTGATGCTGCCCAGCTTTCGGAGAGGTTTTCAGGGGTGAAACGTCTGGCAGTGCCATCCAGATTTCAGAGAGGTTTTCGGGACCGTCATTGAAAAGATAGCAGGATTTATCCCCTGTATGTCAACAAGTTTCTAAAGGAAAAAAATATCAAATGCCATCTTACAAAGTATACGTGGTCAAAGAGGGCAAAGAAAATGCATCAAGTTACTTAGATGAAGAGCTTTCTCCATAGGGTGTAATTTTGGCCCTATTTGCACACCTTATTTAATTTTCTCCTGGTTATTTTTTGGAAAGCCTTGTTCACTTTTTTTCTTCTGTGGAAAAGTGGTGCTCTAAATAATTCCTTAACTTGCTGACTGGATGTCTTTCAGATGACTTTTCTGCTAATTTGAATTTTGGCTGGACCATGACTATTTCAGTACAAATTTGTTCAGAAGAGAATTATTATTTTGGAATTCCTCCCCATTATTTATAAGCTGTAATCAGAACTGTGCTTACATATACATGGATGTTTTCCTCAATACATTCAGTATTTGAAAAATCTCTGGATTTTTCTTACCTCATTCAAAAATATTAAGATAAAGGGCTTGCTTTGAAAATCTGACTGTACAACTGGAGGAGTGTGTTTATGTGTCTGTGTTTGCATGTGTACAATTGCTTTTTCTCATACTCCCATCAGGTACTCTTCCAGGAGCTGGTGTACTTACTACCAATTTACAGAAGAGTTTAAGAAATATTCCCCTCTTATTATCTTCAGTGTCTGTAGTTAGAATTAAAGAGTGTGATGTGATTCTACAGGTGCAGCATTCTGAAATTAAATTTCTCTGAGGCACAATGTATGATAATGCAGGAGCTGTGGGGGCAATTGACCCCAATTCCCCTAATACCCAATAGCAATTCCCAGTGAGAGGATAGGCTCCCAACACCTGCTGTGTCCTTCAGCTTCTCTGGCTGCTACACTGTAATTAACAGTCCATAACTCAGGGGAGCTCTATAATACTGTCAAAGAGAGTTTTCATACTAATTCTGTGAGCCTTGGACCAAATTACCTTTTGCAAGGAACTGTGTGTCTGCAGCACTTCCAGTATTTCTCAAGGGTGAAGTAAGAGACACAAGAAGAACAGTGAAACCCTTGTAAAGATGGAGTTTTACTACAGCATGAGGAAAGTTTGTAATATACCTAGAATCCATAAACCCTTCATAATTAAATTTACATATTCATTCTTTTTTTAATATACCCTGGGAAATTGATCTGTGGTTTGTTAATCTGGTTAGTTTGGACGAACAATTCAGCATTTATGAGCAGAAGAGTGGCACGTCATTTTGAAAGAAGAAAATGGGCTTTTCAGAAGTGTATGGAAGTAATAAATGCATCAAGCTGTGAAAATATGCTGTGAAAGCTGTCCAGCTGTCTTGCAAAATATCTGATATTCCTACACTATCATGTGGAATCGTGATTTTTGCTCATCATCATCAGAGCCATGTTCAGCATCCAATTGAAATATGCTTATCTTTGCTAGTACCCTTACTAAGCTGAAAAGCTTTCCTGATTACTTGTGTGTGGCTCAGAAAAAAAGAGAGAAACAGAAACCCTTCAGAATTCCAAACACTTCTTCCTTCAAGAGTATTGTTTTATGCTATATCTTAAGCATTCAACCCTTTGCCTGTCCTTTCCATTTTCAAAAATACCAAAATGTCTTTCATGGCGGGGGGGGCATGTGTAATTTAAAATCTATACACAAAATACCTGGAGTGTCATTCATGTCTTTTGGGTGAAGGCAGCTGAATGTATGTTCAAAGAAAACAACATTTGAGGTGCAAGTGGTTATTTTCCTTGCCTTAGAAGAGAGTCAACTTTAGGCCACCAAGCTGATGTGAAGAGATGTGTAACCAGGAGAGCAGCAGCCTTACACAAATACCTGCAAAAGGAGGTATCTTGCATCTTTTCATTCTATTGGCCTTACTGAGCCCAAGGAAACTGAGCTAACAAAAGTAGTTTACAAGTCAATTTGCTTCAAGTGCTTCTTCAGCCCTTTCTATATAAAGTTACATTGTTTCCAGATTTTCCAATCAAGGCAAAATAAACCAGAAATATCCCTGCAAATTAGTCACCCTGAAACAGGTGTCCAAAGGGCAATTGCATATGGAGAGTTTAAGTCACACTTCACAGGTTTTCATAGTCTTTTTCGTTGTCACTGTGTCTCCAAGGCCACTGCTGCAACACAGACAAACCAGTCATGAATGTAAAAGGCTGATTATGTGTAAATACTTGCTCATTAGTCTGTGTATCATAGCCTGATAGCCTATAGTACTGTGCAGTTCTACAGCACAACAGCTTTTTTCTTACGACGGAAATTAAAGTGTAGGTGATTTGTGTACATATGGTCCAAGGCACTGAGTGCAGTAGCATGCTACACGAGAGCCAAGATCATTTAGCATTCTCAGAAATTATACACAAGTTGCAATTTCTTTATATCCTGATAATTTTGAAATCTATTAGTTTTTTGGTTGGTTTGTTGTTTGTTTGGTTGTTGTTTGTTTGTTTGTGGTGGGGGTTTTTTTGGTGTTTTGGTTTTGTTTGTTTGTTTTTTTGTTTTGTAGCAGCTTTGTGTCTAGGAAAGATTATTCTGAAGGATTCAATTTACCTAAAGTAGGTAGGTTTTTTGTTTGTAATCGCTGAATGGAGTGTCTGTCACATCCTAAACATATTCAGAACTTAAGATGCCTCTGAGCCTGTCTGTGACTTGGGATTGGGCTTTTCTCAACAGCACATGTGTGGGACACTGAAATGGTTCAGGTGTTCATGTGGAAATGTGAGAAATGCAATATTGAGACTGATAAAGAAGGAGGAAGCTAATGGCACTGGAGACTGTGAATGGCAGGTGTCCTTTCTTCAGCCCTTTGTTCATCAGGGTTGTGCCAGTGTAGTCTCAGCGAGAGGCAGCGATAAACACTTTTGTGCTCTGCCATTACCTTCCTCCATCGTTCTCATGTTCACGTAGGTACGTGGTCCTTACGCTGTACACGAGGAAGGAGCTTGGCGCAGCGCCGGACGCCGGGTGGGCGCGCAGGGGCGGCGGGAGCTGTCCGAGGTGGCTCGGGAGAGCCGGGACCGGGCGGCCGAAGAACGCGCAAAAACGCGGGCTGCAGCGAGCCGGGATGTAAGGCAGGGATGGAGTAAAAGAGAGGGCGGGGGTCAGGGATTGAGGCTGGAGTATGTCTAAGCACCTTACTTTTCCACCTCTGAAGTGAATTTATTCAGTCTCTGCAGGATCAGATGCTTTGCTTGTGCAGTTCCATTGTTGAAAAATTCAGGCTGGCATCAGACCTCCTTTTCTCCCTCCATTTGAGAGCGAGATTAAAGTATTCATAGTTCCTGTTGTAACACTAGCATTGCAGAAACTTTGAGTATTGTGACTATAATGATTTACCAGGATTTGGTAAGTGTGCTAGCCACTGAATCTTTTGTATTTTATGATAACCCCTAGCAGTTTATATGCCTTTATTCTCTATAATGTTATTTTATGTTATAATATTAAGTAGTAATATCTCACTTCAAGAATATTTCTTTGTTGAATATTTCTTTGTTTCTAGACAAGTCAGGTCCATTCACACCTGCCAAATGAAGGACTGTGCTCCCTCTGTAATCAGACATGAAGGGACTTGACAGCTGTCTTTAATATCAGTAATTCTGCATTACTGGAAGCCCACCAGTGCATTCTTACAAGAATGACTGTCTGATGGGGTGAAGAAAACAAAACAATTAGTTACCTATCACTCTGTTGATGGCCTTTCCCTATGCAGAAGGCCACTTGAATCTAGGGAGCTCACCATATTCCTGAGGTTTTTTTGCAGAAGTTGACTGCAGCCTATAAACCCCCAAAACCTATTAACTCTTTCTGACAGTAAGTTGCTTCTGTCTCTAGCAAATCAGTTTAAATAGCAAAATCCCATTTTTGATATGAAGTAAGGTTTCAGCATTTTCCATTACTCCCTCCTTGTACTCTTATCAAAAAGTAGCCTCTTAGCTTAGTTTAGGGACTGCCTTCATACCATTTCTTGCTTGCACAATACAGTGGTAAGGTTCTAAACAATGAAGCAGATTTATAGTCTCTAGAAATATACTAGCAAAACCAGCAAGAAAGAAGTTCTTGGGGAATAAAGGGAATATAATAAAAAAAAAATAATTATTGTTTTGTTTCTGGCAAGAATAGTTGTAAGCCAAGCATTCAATTTCTTTCTTGAATTCTGAAGCGTAGCATTTTATTAATTTGGAATTTATAAAAAATGAAGACCAGATACCTTGAATCAACCGTGGTATCATGGAAATTTAAAAGAAGACTGTTTTCTTCTTGATGGGCTTCAGAACAGCATAGATTATACTTGTG